CTTCACCTCTGTGTCACAGGAATGGCCACTGTTATTCTCCTCACTTTTAACCACTGGAGTATCTAGGGACATTTGCCAACAGCGTTTGTGGATATTGAGACTGGCTGGTTGTTTGTACATACATTTTTCTGCAATTCCATAAGCTGGCAACATAAGGTCATGCAGAAACCAGAAATTCAGGGTCCATACATAATGACTCCACACAAAATGTGTTTTGTCACAGAGTATAAGAATAGATAAACTAGTAATAGCAAATGACGTGCATTCACTGTACTGCAGGCTCTGTGCTGAGCATGTCACTTTCTATTATTATTATTGTCCCCATTTTACCAAAAAAAAAAAAAAAAAAAACCAAAAAACCCTCGAGTCTTCTTGGTGTATTCCAGATGTTAATTCCTTTTAGGTGTTAGATATTATAAATCTTTTCTTATTCTGTCACCTTTTTGTTAACTTTGCTTATTGTGTCTACCCTTTACAGAATTCTTAATTTTTAAAATATAGTCAACTCTATTAAATTTTCAACTTATGGCCAGGCACGGTGGCTCATGCCTGTAATCCCAACACTTTGGGAGGCCAAGGTAGGAAGATCATTTGAGGTCAGGAGTTTGAGACCAGCCTGGCCAACAAGGTGAAACCCGTGTCTACTAAAAATACAAAAATTAGCTGGCCGTGTTGGCACATGTCTGTAATCCCAGCTACTGGGGAGGCTGAGGCAGGAGAATTGCTTGAACCCAGAAGGCAAAGGCTGCAGTGAGCTGAGATGGCACCACTGCACTCCAGCTGGGTCAACAGAGTGAGACTCATCTCAAAAAATAATAATTACCACTTATGGTTTGTGTATTGAGTACCTTTTTTAACATCTCTAATATCTCCTTTTAGCTTTATAATTTTACTTTTGCACTGAGTTCCTCTTTGGCATATGCTTGAGACAGTGAACTAACAAGCTGTTTCTCTACTACCAAGTAATGAGTTTTAGGCAATCCATCCCTTCCCCACTGATTGATGGTGCCATGTTTATCCCAAAGAAGGTTCTCATGTAGACTCAGGTCAGGCTCTCAATCTCTGCTCTTTCCCTAGATGTATTTGACAGTGTTCCAGTTTCAAACTGATTTTGTCTGGAAGGGTGAGTTCCTTCTCTTTTCTCTTCTTTTTCAAAATGACTTAGGCATCATGAACTTTTATTCCTTCATATAGAGTAACTATGTTGGAATTATTTATTCTTCGTTTTAGAGTAAGTATGTTGAGGTCCTCAAAAAAAAACTTGCAATAATTTTGTCTGAAATTACATCAAATTTATAGATTAATTTTGAGGGAAATTAATGTGTTTATATTTCAAAGATGTGGTATATCTTTCCATTTATTCAGATCTTTTCAAATGAACAATTGAGTTTTACATTTTTCTTGGTAAGTTCTTTGACAGGTTATTTTCTACATACTTTGGAGTTTGTGAATAGTACCTTATTTTTTAAAAAATATTTTCAAGATGGTTTTGATAAAGAATAATACTTCTTAGACCAGGCACAGTGGCTCATGCCTGTAATCCCAGCACTTTGGGAGGCTAAGGTGTGAGGATCACTTGAGGCCAGGAGTTTGAGACCAGCCTGGGCAACATAGTAAGACCCTGTTTCTACCAAAAAAAAAAAAAATTATTCAGGCATGATAGTGGGTGCCTGCAGTCCCAGCTATTCAGGAGGCTGAAGTGGGAGGACTGCTTTAGCCCAAAAGTTCAAGGCTGCAGTATGCTGTGATCTCACCACTGCATTCCAGCCTAGGCAACCCTGTCTCAAAAACAAAAAAGCAAAACAAACAGAAAAAAGAATAACAATTGTTTAAAAGTGATCAGGTATTCATCATGTCTGCTGAAGCCTCTTATTTTATTTAGTCTGTTGATGAAATATGCGGATACAACCTTTTATTTCTTTTTTCTCTCCTTTTCCTTTTTTCTTATCTTTCTATCTTGCCCAGAAACTACAATATACAAAACGATTAACAGTTAACTGTTGTTAAACAGTAACAGTGAAAGCAGGTTGTGTCTAAATTGTTTTTAAACTTATTGTATGACCCTTTAGAACCTTCAAATAACTTCCATACTCATTACACCATTTGTGTTTCATAAACACCCATTAGTAGGGAGAACAGGTTTTGGCTCATTTTATAATTAACACTCAATATGGTTGAGTTTTGGAGGATCACATAACTAGCAAGGATCAAAATTCATACTCAGGTCTTTAAAACTTCAAGTTATCTCACTATAACAAGCTGATTTGTATCTAGTCAAAAATATATAAAACCACATGATTTAATTCAGTAATACACAAAGTGAATTTGAATTTAAATCCCATTCCATCCTGAAAAAGATGGTCTGATACAATCCTATCATTTTTTAAAGAAAACTGTGTCAGCTGATATTAAACATCTAAACATTGTCAAGTATTAAGAGCCATATGACCATATCAACTAAGGTTGTAATTCTATTAAGAATTTGGGTCTATGCCATGGCAAAACAGTCAGTTAATTTGGTCTGTTTAGGTAAAGTTATGGCAAAACAGTTAATTTAGGTCAGTTTTGTGGGAGGGAGGGAAATTGGGTAAGAAATATTCATCACATTAATTTTACTAACATTGCAATACAACTACAATTTTATTTGTTTGGGCATATTTGAACATTTAAAAGCTGCTGTAAAGATAATATTGTTACTTCATTTTTGTAAGAAGGAAAAACTAAGTAAATCAATTTCTTGGTTGTGCAAAAATAGCCCAAGGGGAAGTGACAGACCTGTGAACAGAACTCATGAATTAAACCTGAGCTTGGTCTACCAGTTCTCTGTAATCAAGCCCCATGATTCACTCATGGAAATCAGTGCCTCTTAAATTCACTGAATGACAGACACCTCAACAGACACACATCTGTGGATTCCCATAGCTCCGTTAAAAGTAACCATCAGGAAGCAATTAGGGACTGCATCTGTCTCCAACAATCAAGGTATTTTTCTTTCCATTTCTTGCATTTTCACTTAGGGAATGTGTAAGGGATCGTCCTCTCTAAATGGTGCTGTTACTTGGAATGTACCAAGTATGCTGATTTGCTAAAGGGTCCCAGGCTTAAACAGCAGGAAAGCACAAATAAAGCTGCACTCAAAGAATCTAAATATCTCAGAAGAGGAAATCAGAAAATTGTAAACTTTCTTAAATGCAGCTTTGCAAGTTGAGTAATAAAATACAATAATGTAACTAAGCAGGAGGCTTGCATTAACTGTGAAAAAAATGAGGGGCAAGGAATGGTTCCAAATCGATTGTATTTATCAGAACTTCTGATTTCCTCTGAAATGGCACACGCAATGAAATTTACTGTGAGCTAGCTAACAAAACAACCTTGTTTTTATGGGAAATAAGTATTGTCAGAAAAACTAACAGATTCTATTTTAAATCCTCAATATTATAAAATTGAGCTTTTCATAGATGAAGAAAAAAAGGCTCCAGAACAGAGGCATCATGGAGGCAGTGATTTCTATTTAATCTCTTACCTGCTCAAGGAAAAAAACCATCTCAACTGAAATTAATATAGTTTTCTGTGGCGGAATATATAATGACAACTAATAATGCAGAGGCTGTCTGCATTGAGTGAATTTTCTTTTCGTTAAAAAAAAAAATACTCATGCTTGTTAAACACATGAACTGTACAAGTTTATATTTGGCCAACCCCTGTACCCCCACCTGTTCATTCAGGCATTAGCCCTGAGGACTTAGAAAGCAAATGAATGATCTGTACAGCAATGGGTAAAAATAAACTGAACTATTCTTGTAACACTATCAGAGATGATCTGACCAAACAGAAGATCACGTTTCATGAGATAAAGTAGTCAAATGAGATGTTTCCTCATGTTTTACGATTGGTTTGGCTTATTCAGTGTGTATAAAATAGCTGACCTTCATTCCAGGAGAATGAGCAGCAACCAAATTTAATGCTATTTGCTCAGGGGTTCAAATCTGGTTTCATTGCCTCTGAGGCAAAGTTTCTAAATGTGCTACTGTTACAGAGACCCAATGCTTGGCATATAACTAAGAAGGAACATTTAAGTCAATGGACACTAGATTGGCTTTGTGGGTTAATCATGTTATTTCAATGTGTTTGCCTCTTTGGGAATAAAGTTCAAGTAGAAGTTGGATAAGTTATTAGCTTTTGGAGTGAGCATATATATATATATATATAATATATATATATATATTATATATATACACACACATATATTGAATAAACACATATTTTTGAAGTGAGCATATTTTTATGTTTTATATATGTATAATGCTTGTTTTATATAGAATATATAATCTCTGTATTTTATATATAAAATCTCTATAATAAGAAGTTCCCAAGGACAGCCAATTATAAGATCAACCAGTGCTCTCACTCCCTGGCTCACTATTCTTTAGCCATATTGGCAATTAATTCCTTGAAAAACCTAGATGTGGTTGATAGATCATTGTTCACAATTTTTCACATCTTTCCTGTATTAAATAATTTATCCATATTCATCTACATTTCTCCAAAATACCCTCAGCTATGGGTAAAATATTTTCCCCATCCCATTGATTTTGGGCTGGGCCATATGGCCTAAGTTAGCCAACGGAGTGTTCCTGAACATTTTTAAGAGGACTTAAATGCACTTGCGTGATTTCATTTGGGCTCTTGGGCTCCTGTCATGTGCTATGTAGGGAATATGTTTCAAGAAGCTATTGGTCAACACAGGATGAGTCACGTACAAGGGAGACCTGAACCTTGGAGTCCAGCCAAGCTCTGCCAGTTGTAGCTGACCCACAGGCCCATGTTGGAGGAATAAATGCTTACTGTTTCAAACCAAAGTTGTGAATAGTCGGTTGTAGTGAATGGGTATAGCAAAATGTCATCTCACTGCCTTAGCACATACCCTTCCCTCTACTAGCAATCATCTTCCATGACCAGTCTTTGCCTAGTTAATTCCTGCTCATGCTTCAGAGCTCAGTTTAACTGTCTTGACCACAGGACAGATGCCACAGACCTGATTACCTCCCCCTTCATATCCTGTGTTTCCTCTTTTGTGAGATTCATCACATTCACAATGTTTTGCTTCATGGCATTCAACTAGAATATAAGCTTCTTTGAGCGGTGGGACCACAGTGTATTTTTCATTGGTATTATTCCTAGCACACGACACACAATGCTAATACAAAGGGGATTTAATAAATATTTGTTATGTGATCTTTTTAAAAAGGCCATGTGGTTCTGCTACTTAAGAGTCAGAAAAGAAACTTAATTTGTATGAGTTTTGGTTTTCAGCAACTATAACATGAACACAATAATACCTATCTCCTAAAATAGTGAGGATTAAATAAACCAACCATTAAAGTTAATGAATTTGAAGAAAGATTTATAAGTATCTGACACATGGGTACAGAAAAGGCACTTGATAACTGACAGCTTTTATTATGGTTGGAAAGATAAATATATTTGCCCTCTGTCTAAGAACACTATTTGTTTTAAAGCAATATTTTTGCAAGTCAAAAAAAGAAAAAATTAGATTAGGTTGCTACTTACGATTATTCAGTTTGGTATTTCAAAGCATCCTGCTTACTTATCATGCTCTGAGTCCCTTTTAGAAGCACTTTCAGGTAGAATTCAGCTACGAAGAAACAGGTTGGCAATTGAAACTTGGCTTATTTCAAACATTTGTTACTAAATGACTGTATCCTTTTAAAAAAGAGTAAAATTCATTTTCGCCATTTATCTTTATTTTTATTTATATTCACCATTTTTGCTATTTAAAATTTTTTTCCCTGCTTAATTAAGCTTTTAGAGTTAGCAATTATTTATTTTCAAAATGTTTTTTCTTCATTCCTACAAATAGCTTTTGGAATAGGATTTTATACAACCTAAATCAGTTTTTTTCTTTTGCCAAAAGCAACATATATCCAATACAAAAAATTAGAAAATATAGGTAAATATAAGGAAGATTTAAATGTTTGTAATCCAACCATCCAGAGATAGTCACTGTACATTGTATCTTTACCCTTTTGAAGTTAATGTTTCCTTTAATTACCACAATTATCTTTCCATGCCAATAAATATTCGTCTACATCTTTTATTAGTAGCCTTCCAACATAACATCATTTACCTGAGCAATTCCCTATTGCGGAAATTTAGTACATTTTACTTTTTTTCTTTTGCTATTATCAGCAGTATCTCCATGAATAAGTGAAGAGATAACAATTAGTTACTGAAACCTTTGAAAACACCACTTAATGAGTCTTGCAGTTCAGAGCAGGACAGATCATTATCCTGACTATAATCCAGGCCTTTCGTTGTATTTCTTATTGTGAGTCTAGAACCATCATTGAAAAATAGTAAAGTTTGGTGGGTGGGCTACATTAGAATAAGAGAATTTGAGGAAAGACTTTCATTTCTGGTCTCAATAATGAATGTGCAAACCAGAACCTACAAATCAACTCGTGATCAAAAATACCTTCACAGAAAGCAGGAATCCTGAAATGGGAAGAAGGGAAACAAGGAAACCCACAGATCACTGTTGCTCTCACTCTCACAGCTACCATGTCCATATTTGTTTTGACAAACACTCCTTGCCCACAATCTGATCTCTGGTATGATGAGCAATGACATTCCCATTTTACAGATAAAGGGACTGAGGCACACACAGAGAAGCTGACAACAGTGTCCACAGTGCTACAACCAGTTAGTAACACATCCAGGGTTCTAGAACACAGCCAGGTTCTGGCTCACAGAGAAGTGCTTGTTTTATGCTCACATAATTCTCAGTAATACTGGGAATTATTCGGAAGAGGGAACAGGACTCAATGCAGCAGGGAGATGAGTAGAAACATAATTCTCCTGAGAGACAGCACGGAGGCATTTGTTAGCTACTCGACACTGGTCTAACATCTTCAGTAAGAGGATAATACCTCTATCCACCTCCCTAGGGCAATATGAGCATGATTGCTTATTTAGAAATTTGTTCCTGTAAAAGCTTTGATATTCTCAAAGGAGAGGTGCTGCCGAAAAGTAAAAATATTTTCTTTGCTTCCATTGTGCACATGAGAGAAAGGAGATTTGGATCAGGTAAATAAATTATTGGAAGATATATACATTCTTTATCTAATCATATTAGGATAATACTCCTGAGCTCCTTGAATGGAGGTATCCTGGGTACCTGCTGTCCTTAGCACATACCTTATGAAACTGAAAATCTTACTCAGCCCAATCAGAACTGCTTATTAATGGGCTAATCAGAAATGTCAGTCAAGGGAAAAAAAGGGATACATTTATGTTGTAAATGTAATCCCTCGACAGGTTCTTCCCACCTGATGCATAGAAGAAATCAATTCACTGCCACCATGGTATTGGAATAAAGAAAGAATTTAGTTAATGGTGGGCCGCCCAGTGGAAGGACTGTCATTATCATTCAAGTTGGTCTCCCCAAAGGCTCAGAGGCTAAGGTTTTTCAAGGATGGTTTGGTGATCCAGGGACTAGAGAATGGGTGTTTCTGATTGGTTGGAGATGCAATCAGAGGGGTGTAAAAAAGAATCATCCTCATGTGCTAAGTCTGCCTCTGGGTGGGTGCCATTGGACAGGTTTAGTCATGTGTCATGAGTCCAGGTGGGGTTAGTAGATTGCCAGAATGCAAAAATCTGAAAAACATCTCAAAAGAACAATCTTAGGTTCTACAATAGTGATGTTATCTATAGGAGCAATTGGGGAAGTCATAAATCTTGTGACCTCTGGCCACATTCCTGAGCAGTAAGAGATTACAGAAACTCTGCCTATACCTTAGCAGAATTCAGGCCCCTTCCATAGTCTTAATCCTGTAGCTTTTCATTCACCTTACAAAGGCATTTTCAGCCCCAAATAAGGAGAAGATCAGTTTTAGGTAGGTACTATTATGATCCTTGTTTCAGAGTTAATACACTAAATTCTTCCCACGGTTAGCTTGGCCTACACCCAGGAATGAGTGAAGACAGCCAGCCCATGAGGCCAGAAGCAAGATGGAGTCAGCCATGCTAGACTTCTCTCACTGGTGTAGTCTTTGCAAAGGTGGTCTTATAAACATTATATTATATTATATTACATTATACTATATTATACATATATACTTAAGATGGAATCTTGCTCTGTTGCCCAGACTGGAGTGCAGTGGTACGATCTCAGCTTACTGCAACCTCCACCTTCCAGGTTCAAGAGATTCTCCTGCTTCAGCCTCCCAAGTAGCTGGGATCACAGGCGTGCATCATCACGCCTGGCTAATTTTTTTATTTTTTTTATTTTTTAGTAGAGGTGGGGTTTCACCATGTTGGCCAGGCGGGTGTTGAACTCCTGACCTCAGGTGATCTGCCTGCCTTGGCCTCCCAAAGTATTGGAATTACAGATGTGAGCCATCATACCCTGCCCATAAACATTATATTTTAAAAATGTATTTACCAACCCAGTGGAAGGCCATGGTTCTTTCCCTCACTATAGATTCACTGGCAAGACTCCAATACCACATTTTTTTTTGCCTAAACCATACCCATAAGATCTCATTTTTCATTTTCAACTTTCCTTTCTTTGTAGTAGGTGAGAACTTAAAGACACTCATGAGCTATATATTGTAGAGTTTATTATTTTTCCTAGTCTCATATCATTAATTTAACATTAGTGAGTCTTTCCAAAGCATTCCATTTAAATGTCATGGTAATAATTCTCTCTCTTCACCCTCACGTTGTTAGTTAATGAAATATTAAAGTAGATAGCATAATTTTAATAACAAGTAAAACTAGTACAAATATGTCTGGTAACAAACAATTCTGATTATCATAAAACACAAAACTCAACTCCTCAGAGAAGAAAGGGATCAGTGTGGACAGAGTGGAAATTCTGTTCAGTGTGTTTTGATCACCGGTCCAAGCCTTACAGAGGTAATGAACGTTGGTTCCTCCTATGAGTCACTTAAGTAGAAGTTGGTTAAAAGAGTGCCCAGAATAGTTTTTTTATTAATTATTAATATTAAGCAGTGTATTTGTGGACAATGACTGGAGACAGTCCCAGGTAGGAGTTTAAATCTTATGTATCCATTCACACTCGAAGTTTTTAAATCCCATCCTCTCCACCCCAATAAATTTCCGGAGTCTGTCAACTTGCCCCTCTACATGATAGCTTTGAATTCACATTATCTTGCTCATAGGACCATAAAGGACCCAGTTATTCACCAGAAAAGCCTCTTAAGATGAGAGGGAAGAGCTCCAAGAGCAAATTAAATCCCAACTTTTATTTTCTTCCTACTACTTACAAACATTGCAAACTTTCCTATTATTTCTTATTTTCTGTCTCACACCAGTAGAAGGTAAGTTCTGTGGGAGGAAGGATTTTATCTCCCTCATCTACCTCTGTATTCTTGGTACACCTAGAATAGTGCCTAGAATAGTGTGTAACACAGAGAAGTTACACAATAAATGTTTGTTAAGTGAATGATTGATTTAATCCAGGTATATACAACATGGGCGTTTTCTACACAAATTTGATCCCGTTTAATGGTTAACTTTTTGTTTTTCCATTTTTTAAATAAATTTCTACACTGTTATAAAATTTTCAAATTACTTGGCAAAAAGAATAGCCTGCAAAAGGCTAGCCAGATTTTAATCTTGTCTAAATCAGGTCAGAAAAATCAGTTTTACTCCAGAAAACACAAAGGGCAAAGTACAATGGCCAGAGTTACATAACAGCTATACTCACCAGGTGTGCAAAGCCATTTAATATTGTCATTCAGACTCAGCCCTAATGAGCAATCTTGTTTATCTACAAAACTGAGAACAACCAGCTGCTAACAACCAGACATTGTCCCCAAGCCCAGCACACTTCATGTCACCACTCAATGCACCTACAACCTAGCTCTGTTATTAGAATTTCTCATAAGGACCATGATAGAACTGCTGAGAAATAAAGAAAAAATGGATTTCATACACATACTTTAAAGCTTTATGTTTAGTTTTTTAAGTGTATGTTTTGCTCTGATACAGTTAGATTTGCAATTGAAAAGGGAAAAGCATATCAGAAAGAAGCTTTTTGTTAAAGCAGACTGATGAAGAAACCAATGATAGATGGAAAGCACAACTCATTTTAAATTACCAGAGGAAACCACAGAAAGTTTCTCCAAAAGAAAGAAAAAATAAAGCAGCAGCCAGTTGGAGAATTACTTATTTTTATTATACCAATTAAAAATATAGTCAAGGAGCCAGGCATGGTGACTCACGCCTGTAATCCCAGCACTTTGGAAGACTGAGGTGGGTGGATTATTTGATTATTTGAGGTAGGGAGTTCGAGACCAGCCTGGCCAACATGGTGAAACCCCGCCTCTGCTAAAAATACAAAAATTAGATGGATGTGGTGGCAGGTACCTGTAGTCCAAGCTACTCGAGAGGCTGAGGCCATTGAACCCAGGAGGCGGAGGTTGCAATGAGCCAAGATTGTGCCACTATAATCCAGCCTGGGTGACAGAGTGAGACTCCATCTCGAAAAAAAAAAAAAAAAAAAAAAAGATAGTGAACGGCTTCACGCCACATGTCTCTTTTTGTTTGTTTGTCTCTGTGTCGCCCAGCTGGAGCGCAGTGGCCCAATCTTGGCTCACTGCAATCTCT